TTAACAAGCATTAAATCATATACACATTAAAGGGACGCAGACATCTGACTGGTGATGACCACTGTCTCAACCAACCTATGGCTTCCTATACAAATTAAAGGATGTATAGCCAATAGTGATGTCCCGAACTGTTCGCCGCGGACTCATCATTGAGTAATCTTTGACCCAGTACCTCACAGTCAGCAGACACATTCCATCCTCCCTCCCAGACCCTTCCACCTCCTGGACAGCTCACTAAGAATGCAGCTTCACAATGGATGCTGTCCAGGAGGTGAAAGGGTCTGGGAGGGAGGGTCTGCTGCTGATTGGCTGGAATGTGTCTGCTGACTGTGAGGTACAGGGTCAAAGTTTACTCAATGAGGAGTCCGCGGCGAACCGTTCGTGGCGAACAGTTCGGGACATCAAGTATGCCCCCCTCCTCCCCCTCCCCCCCAAAGACCCACACAAAGGCATGGAAACTGCAAGCTTGGTTAAAATGTTAGATTTGCTTAAAACGATAAAACATTGTGTGTACATTAAGAAGGATATCAGAGAAGAGGAAGCAGCGCATGGTTCATCTTATTTAAAAAAAAAAAAAAGTGGCATAAATCTTATATTTGAAATTTCAAAACAGAAAAGTCTGCAATAGTAGGAAACGATAAGATCATCCACAGAACCCTATTTTGTACTCGGACGTATGCCCTAAAAAAGATGAAGTGGCTCCTGCTAACATCACCCATGAGAACAGTGCCACAAAGACAGACAGTCAGGTAAATAGATCGTATTTCCCATTTCCTCCCACCCACCACAATGTAAGGGGATGCGTCACTTGGGGCACAGTGCCACTACAGTCTTTATGTGGAAATGGTCTGATCTCCTAGACAGTGTCAATACATATATACAGCTCATTTTTAGATTTATTGGTTTTCGTTACCTGTTGAACGTTTTGGTTTATAAAAAGCACTGGTTAATGCAGTTTACACTATAGCTAATGACGGATACGCAGGCTTTCAGGAAGACATCCAATTTTTCAACATCTCATATGTATTTCTACCAGTGTCAGAAATATAATTGCGTTTTCCTAAGCTCAACATCATCATTCAACCTGTCACTTTGCAACAGTTGTTCAACAGAAGCCGTCCAATCGCCTCGTTCTCTGTGTTTGGTGACCAAGCCTGCGTATACATGGGTCATGATCCTTTTTGGCAGAGTTATAACCAAAAACCACATCTCTCAGGCTTGCTGATGATTACTTGCTGGTCAGGGGTTTATTTGTACGTGGAAAAATACAATGCAGACACACAGTGTCTGGCTTTCAAACAACAACACAGAAGGCTGCTGGCTGCACAGACACAGAAAACATGACAGGTGTTTGACTCCAGCTATTACACGTTACAGGCAGCATGCATTCAAAGATTCCGACAACTTACTTTTATTGCATTTTTTGAGATGGGTCACTGGCTAAAGGGTAATACTGTGGCAATCTGATAACATTATCAGAGGGTATGCAGAGTTCTAGCTCACAATGCTTACTTTCAAAGACTGATTTAAGAACTTCGCTAACTAGAGGCACTTCCGCACTTGAAAATCACAGTGAGAAGACGCCAACGTCCATAGGAAAGCATTGTGAATGTTTTCCTATGGACTGGCTGAATGTGCGCGTGGCTCCTGCCGCGCATGCGCATTCAGCCGAGGAGGAGGAGGAGAGTCCCCCGCCCTGCGCTGGAAAAAGAGGTAAGTTTAACCCCTTCCACCCCTAGAGCCCGGCGGGAGGGGGACACTGAGGGTGGGGGCACCCTCAGGGCACTATAGTGGTCCTTTAACAGATTCCACCGTAAAACAATAGGCTTTTGAATTATGCAAGTTTCTTTTAAAATATTTTTATTGATAAATTTTTCAATAACAATAATAACAAAAGAAAATGTAGCACTACAATCAAGCAGGAATATACATGTATGTTTACATCCACTGATATGTCATATAATATTGCAAGTCAAAATGAACATGTCAATAATAAAAAATATCTAGGAAAGAGAGGATGGCCTTTGAGGTTGTTTATACTAACGGATTTAAAAATGAATATCAAAGTTAAAATAAATTAAAACAAAGGCCTGGTCAGGTTGAAGTCAAGGAGAAACATTGTATTGAGGTCCAATGTTCTCTTCCCACACAGCCTATTCATGCTTTAGAAGAGATACATTATCAGAGGGTATGCAGAATTCTAGTTCACAATGCTTACTTTCAAAGACTGATTTAAGAACTTCGCTAATCGTTGGTATGGTAGTTGACTTACAGTGTCGGGGGATTACAGAGGTGGCAGATATGAGTAGGTGGCCTAACATAATAGTCTTTTTTTGACAAGTAATCAGGGAATTTCTTAAATATACACAGTTCCGGTGATAGGGGTACAATATAGGTGATTATAGAAATAGCCAGTTGATGAACTTCCTTTCAAAAGTTGTCAAGTTAGGGACAGGACCAAAAAAATATGACCTGACCACATGCATTAGTATTTGACAATTTTAGTTTAAAAAAAAGTCTAGATAGAGTTAAATGCCATCTGTAAATTAATTTGAAATGCAATTCCAAATTATTAATACATCGTGTAATCCCTTTCAATGACATTAGAAAATCATGCCATTCCTCGACTATATACCCCACCTAAGTAATTTTCCCACTCCGACATATAGTAGTCCATTTTAGGACCTGTCTCATCAGCCTATTCTGCCAGGATCTGAAAGATATTGTTTTTCCAAAATTGATATAACCAAGTTTCTTAAATTGAGATTCTGATCACAAATACCAAAATGCTTGCTAATCAACGACACTATCTCTTCATGCATATGGGCATCAAAAATGGTTAACTTAAATTTGTTTTTCAATTGGTCGAAGGTAATAAAATGAGTAGATAAAAATAGATCATAAAATATGTGTGAGTGAATGTGAAAACGAATAATCCACATCCAGCTCAGGTAATGAGGGTTGCAACACTGATAAGGGATTAACCCTGGACCAGATAGCAGTAGGACAAATATTCTTATATAGGATATCCCTTGATTTAGCAGCCAATTTGGTGGATGGGTACATATCGACCACCCGCGGTCGTCGAGAAGGAGGCAGTCATAAAATATCATTAATAGAGTGAGGAGTAATCTTAGCTGCATCTATCTCGTGCCACAGAGGGCGATCACGATCCAGGTTGAACTTAAGTGTCATTGCCGCATTCGTTGCATGATTGCAATGGGCAAACCCACACCCCACACCCTCTGAGCTTTTGTAGAATGAGTGATTTGATTCTACATGGCTTTTTATTCAAAATAAATGTTAACAGGGCAGATTGGACCTTTCTAAAAAAAGATAAAAAAGTCATAGTAAGAGGGATCTTTCTAATGAAATATATTATTTTGGGAAGGAGAGACATTTTAACTGAATTGATCCTACCTAGCCAGGAAATTTCAAGGCCACACCACCTTTCTAGGTCGGCCCTAAACTCGGGCCAGACTTTAGCCAGGTTCTTGCATAAGTTGATGCCAAAATAGGATATATAAGAATATAAGAATCTCTCCAGTCAAAGTCAAACCGTTCTTTCAAAATATCTAAGTCACACCACTTTTTTTTTTTTTTTTTTAGAGTTTCGTGAATAAAATGAAATTTCACCGAATTATTGCAAGATAGACATCAACGGATCAATGGAGGTCAAACGGTAAAAAGGATTGTTCAAAGAAAGCATGATGTCATCTGCAAATAGGCCTATTTTGTGTTCTTTAACTCCTACTGCTATGCCATAGATACCAGTACACTGGTGTATCATTTCTGCCACGGGCACCATTGCCAACACAAATAAAAGTGGCGACAACGGGCACCCCTGTCTAGTCCCATTAGGCAACAAAAAATCATCAGATACAAATCCAGTTGCTGATCCTCTTGCAGTTGGATGACTGTACAGAGCAAACAGTCCTGGTGAAAGGATCAGGTATACTAAATCTCGACAAGACATCCCTCAGGGGGTCCCAATGAATTCTATCTAATGCCTTCTCTGCATTCAAATAAAGGAGCAGAAAAAGAATGAAATTTAATTTCATTTGATGAATCAAATTGATAAAATGCCTTGCACTATCCAAGGCCTGACAATTCACTATTAATTAGCAATGTGAGAATTTGAGCAAGTCTAGTAGCCAATATTTTGGCATACATTTTTATGTCATTATTAATCAAAGAAATGGGATGAAAATTTGGACAAGCGTTTGGCGCTTTACCATGTTTGGGTAAAGTAATAATTTGGGCACCAAGGGCTTCCCTCGGCATCTCTCCTGTATTTCAATAATGGTTAAATAGTTGAGTCAACTGGGGAGTAAGGATACCCGAGAAAGAATTATAATATGACATTGTGAAACAGTTTAGTCACGGAGGCGTACTGGCAGGAATCACCTTAATGGCGTCCAAAATTTCATTTTAGGAAATAGGAGACTTTAGAGTGTTCAATGTATCAGCCAAAATTGGTTTTATTGGGACCCTGCAAATAAAAAAAAAATAATAATAATAATAAAAAAATAAAAAAAAATAAATAAAAAAAAATCAAGCATTTTTTTTTTAGATGTAGGCTGCAAGTTTCTTCATGTTAAACTCATAAAACATTCCGTTCCACCATTCTTGTCCAAACAATAGCCTCCATCAGCTTTCATAAGGCCTCACATTAATAAATTGCTTTGAACCACTAACATTTACACAGTCCCAAAAAAAGCTTCAAAATGGGTATGAGGACCATCTACTAAAAGAACCTTCATTATCTTGCTATTTGGTATTAAATCAATTGTATTTAAATCTTGCTATTTGGTATTAAATCAATTGTATTTAACTTTATTGTAACTAGATCTGTCAGAACACTGGTGAAATAGAATCTGGGTACTAAATGTGTCTTTCACTGGGTACATACATTCTATTGAGAAGAAAAAAAAAAATCTATTGGGCAAATGATTGTCTAAGAAAGCAAAGAATCATCTATGTACTCCTGTGATTGCCAGATTCTGCAGCAAGGAACCAAGAACATTCTGTCACCAAGACGAGGGCAGCTTCAATCAAGCAAACTGCGACGGAGCAATCACCAGTCCGTGCAGTCACTCACAAGGACAGCGATCATAGCCTACATGAACATGTCACATGTCACATCAGCATCAATCCCGAACTATTCATCATCCATGTGCTATGATGCCAAGCAAGACCCTGGCAGGCCGTGATGCAATACGATGACATTGTGCAGAATTTCTCGGTAACCTATACTGATGTGGATATACCATATAAATTAAATTATAAAACAGAGAGCTACAAAGTATCAGCATGGTTTACAAAGCTTTTACATGTCTTTAACACCTAAAGCAAGGTGTGCGCAGCCTGGGGAAGAGCCACTTTAAGGTCAGTAGCTTTTAATAGATCATCATGGGGAATAATGTTTATTTGTAAATCAGACCAAAAGGGAATCGGTTATAACAGTAGTACAGTTATCACACTGGCTGGAGTAGCTGTTATAGCAATGCTGAAAAATAATTAAATTTGGCCAAAAATGGGAACAGACACGCTATCCTGTGATTACAAAGATATCATGCGATTACTTACTCACCAGTTGTACTCTAAGAAGGTACAATATGTTTTTCACAAAACACCAACTGAAATAGTGGAATGAAAACAAACTACTGAACTTCACCAAAACTAGCTAAGCTGGGAATTCTGTATACCATAAAAGAGGCCAGCTATTGGAGTCTAAATTTTGCCACAGTTTTGTTTTCACTACAATCTGTTTAGTAAATAAACTTCTACGAGCCCAAACAGATAATTGCCAAATTAATTATCTCACCACATTTTCTAGCAGGAAGATTCCATGCATATTAATGAATACGTATTATTTTTCTTGTTTTTGTGATGTGCGTTTTCATTTCTATTAAAGGACCACTATAGTGCCAGGAAAACAAACTTGGTTTCCTGGCACTATAGTGCCCTGAGGGTGCCTCCACCCTCAGGGTCCCACTCCCGCAAGGCTGAAGGGGGAGGAAGGGGGTTAAACAATCACCTTTCTCTAGTGCCGGGCTCCCTCGGCGCTGGGGACTCTCCTCCTCCTTCGGTCGTCATCGGCTGAATGGGCATTAATACATTCCTATGGACGCTGGCGTCTTCTCACTGTGAAAATCACAGTGAGAAGCGCCACTAGAGGCTGGATTAACCCATATGTAAACACAGCAGTTTCTCTGAAATTGCTATGTTTAAAGCAGGCAGGGTTAACCCTAGATGTACCTGGCACCCAAACCACTTCATTAAGTTGAAGTGGTCTGGGTGCCTATAGTGGTCCTTTAACACTTATTTCTATGAGAAGCGGTGTACAAGAGGTAAATTCATTAAAAACATATAAAAAAAAAAAAATTAACATCACTACAGTCCCACACAAGCACACTAAGCACCAAAACAGCTTGAGCTTAATTAATTGGTTTTGGTTTAGAAATCATGCTATGCAAATTTACTGCTCAATTTTCATCAGTTTAAGAGTTCAATTATATGGCTTATGCAGCCCTAGTCACACCTCCCCTTCAATGACTTACACCGTCTTCCTACACACCTTTTGAAAAAGATCACATTTTTATACTACATTTATTGCACATTGTGTTTATTAACTTAGAATGTATGATCTACTGCTCTGCTAGAAACCTGTAAGTGCCTATAGCAGCCTCCGGTGTGTGATTAAAGTTCAATTAAGGGAGCAGGAGATAAGAACATCTAAAGTAAACACACTGTGCTTTAACATCTGGTTGAAAAAAAAAAAAATTCACGTTGCCTGTGTGAGTCACAGCCAAAGGAGATGCAGCTAGGGCTGCATAAACAGAAACAAAAAGATGTGATTTAAGTCCGAAATAGCAGATGATTGAGCAGTGAGACTGCATGAACATGATCTATACACTAAAACTGCTTCATTAAACTAAAGTTGATTTGCTTCTTGCAGTATTCCTTTAAGTAAAACTATAATATATATATATAAAAAAAAAAAAAATATATATATATATATATATATATATATATATATATATACATATATACAGATATACAGACACACACACACACACACAATATATATATATATATATATATATATATATAAAAATCACTCTAATAAACTGTATGTTTTAATCTTCAAAAGTCCGAGAGTGCTGATCACTATCTATATATATTTGAATTTTCCTGGATTTCAAGCACCCAGCAAACAGTCTACTAAAGCGTGAGTGCAAGGACTTTCTACATTTTGAGAGAGATATATAGATAGATAGAGATATATACATACACACACACACACACACATATATACATACACACACACACACACACTTTATATGTCCACCCAGAATTCTTTGCAGTAACATCACTGCAAATTTGTGATTTCTGTGGAAAAAGCAAGTCTTATGGTATATATATATATATATATATATATATATATATATATATATATATATATATATATTTATTAGATTAATTGCTAAATTGAATGGTGAAATATTGACAAACTGCAAATTTTAGGCTCCATACTTTTCTATACTTCCACACTTGTTCAATGAAGAATGTAGTCTAATCCCTAGCCTCTAAAGGCAGTGCATGCCTGACAACACAAGATTTATTTTAATATCCTGCGTAGAAGAGATTCACTACTCCTTATTTTTTCATCCTCTAACAAATACCAACAATACAACGTTAAAGGACCACTATAGTGCGAGGAAAACATATAGCCGGGCTCTAGGGGGTGGAAGGGGTTAAACTTACCTCTTTCTGCAGCGCCGGGCGGGGGACTCTCCTCTTCCTCACCGCCTCCTCTCCTCCTCCTCGGCTGAATGCGCATGCGCGGCAAGAGCCGCACGCGCATTCAGCCAGTCTCATAGGAAAGCATTCACAATGCTTTCCTATGGACGCTGGCGTCTTCTCACAGTGAAAAATCTCAGTGAGAAGCGCCTCTAGCGGCTGTCAGTGAGACAGCCACTAGAGGCTAGATTAACCCCAATATAAACATAGCAGTTTCTCTGAAACTGATATGTTTATAGAAAAATGGGTTAAGCCTAGCTGGACCAGGCACCCAGACCACTTCATTAAACCGAAGTGGTCTAGGTGCCTATAGTGATCCTTTAAATGGTTTTATTGTTCACAGCTAAAGGGACACCATAGGCATCACAACAACTTTCGCATAAATTAAGTAGTTTTAAGTGCAGGAGTAGGAAACCTTTGACACTTCAGATGTTGCAGACTACAGTTTCCTTGATGCTTTGCCAGGATTGTGGGAGATATACTCCTAAACATATGTTTATAGATCATGCACCTGCAGTCTCACTGCTCAATTCTCTGCCATTTAGGAGTTCAATCACTTTTGTTTTTGTTTATATAGCCCAGCCCTGACACAGCCTGCGAGAAAACAAAATGGTTTCATTTTCAATCAGATGTTAACTTGATTTATAATTTTTTATCTCCTGCTCTGTAATTTGAACTTTAATTACAAACAGGGGGCTCGTACAAGGTCTTGCTATCTAGAAATAGAGCAGAAGATAGGAAATTCTAAATTAAACAAAATGAGCAGTAAATGAACTTCATATCAAGGTGATATTTCATGAAGTGCTTTGGAAGGCTGTGCAGGGAAGGTGTAACTAGGGATGTATAAACAAAGTAATTTAACTCCTAAATGACAAAGAATTAAGCATTGAGACTGCAGGGGTGTGATCTATACACCAAAGTGGTTTCGATAAGCTAAAAATTGTTTTAGAGACTATAGAGTCCCTTTAACTGACCCAGATTTTAGGGTGCTTGAGAGCACATGGAAGCTCTACACCTGAGAAACTTGCTAACCCCTGTCTATTGAGCCCAAGATTCGTGAGCAAACATTCCTTCTCCTATATATTTTTCTTCCCCCTCAACTGTTTTCCCCATCGCCACTCTCCCTCTGCAGTTTCTCCTCTATAGTTCATTATCTTGATCTGGAACTCTCGACTACAGGTAAAGATCCACTTCTGAGATCACACAATTTTTTTCTCTCCTGTTCCTTCCTTCCTTCCCCCGCCCCTCAACCTGATCCTTTCATTAAATCAACATACATGACCTGAAACCACTGTAGATGACTTCAAACAATGTATATTGTATAAAAAACACCCATACTATTTTCTCCATATTTGGCCTAGCTCCCCAACAATGCTATGTTATATATAATATTCCACCCAGGGAACGGACATCTAAGTTACTTAAATGAAAAAAGGAAATTAGTTTTTGCATCCAGAGTTGTAACTTATCTCCAACCCAACCCCACAGAGGACTGAGAAGAGAAGAGAGATTAGGGAATAATGAAGATGCAAACTAAACAGCAATTAGTCAAAGAGACCAATCTTCAAAGGGCTCCTATTAGCAGCTAGAACAAGACAGGGCCACTAATAAGTGAGCAGCTCTCCCTGCCTCGATATGCACCATTAGACCCTTTTAATACTTTATGGCCTGCAGCCTTTTGGATGGTTCTCTCATCACCATATTGAAACACAAAGAGGCACGGAGAGCAAGGCAGCAGCCATCACAGACTGCTGCTGCCTCGGATTTTAAGACAAGTCAATACTATCAAAGTAAACAAAAGAGTGATATTTATTTTAAGGAGACGTGCATTTGCGTATAACCAATGTTTCAGTCCAACTACCTTGACACATTAAGAAAAATTTGATAATAGAACTGAAATGCAGAATGTATGCTGCTGCAGAGCTGTTAAAAAAAAAAAAAAAGACATTATCTTGAAATTTTATGTGTGTGTTCTTCACTTTGGCTGAGACTAGGCTATTGTGCATGTGTGGCAAAAAGCTGCGCAGCCCATCAGCATCTCCATGCAGACCCAACATAATACACCGTCCCCCTCCCCCAAATCAAATACACCGACCCCCTCCCCCAAATCAAATACACCTCCCCCAAATCAAATACACCTCCCCCCCAAATCAAATACACCTCCCTCCCTCCCCAATCCAAATACACGGCCCCCCTCCCCAAATCAAATACACCTCCCCTCCCCAAAATGAAAAATACACCTCCCCTACAAAAATCAAATACACGGCCCCTCCCCAAAATCAAATACACACACGCCCTCCTCCCCAAAATCAAATACACACGCCTCCTCCCCAAAAAGAGTAAATACACACGCCCCCTCCCCCAAATCAAATACACACCTCACCCCTCCCAAATCAAATACACCTCC